TTAACCCACTTAATGGGTATGTACACAATAACAAAATATCTGATCATAAAGAGATTGGTATCTATCAGCTAAACCATATCTCCTAAGTTACAAAGGTTTATTACTTTATGAAATTTGAATCTGAGTTATCATGACCAACCTTTCACCATACCTCTGACATCAAGGAAAACAATAGCAGAATAAGATGCTCTAGGACAAATTTTGTTAATCTTTGTGTAATTAGTCTACTACTACTACTCTGCTGCTATTTTTATCTCTAATTTTACCTAGCAAAAAAAAAAGTGCATCATTTTGTATTAAACTATTCATCTATTTATCGTATTTGGCCTTGTGTCCTGTTTGGTTGATATAGAATGCATGGACGAGACAATAAATTAGAACTAATGTCTTTGATTTCCGATAATTCGAGACCATGATTGAGAGAACTTCCACACTAATGAGTCCAATTTAACCAATAGGATCAAGTTGAGGGGAATTTGATGCATGAAGGATAGTATTGTGCTAGCCAATTTGATTTAATAATGTAACACTAAGAGATAATATGTGAAAGACATTGCTATCACATTGAATTACGTTCTTAGAATATTGAGGTGTGAAACTTGGTATTAGCTCTATCATTTGATTTTTTTTCCGTATAATACTGATATGTTGCAATACTTCTAATAATTGCAGTTAGAAGTTCTAACTTGAGATGGCTCGGTGTGGAATGCGACTATATGTTCTAGTGATATATTTGTTTTGACCTAGTCTTGAAAAACTATTCAATTTTTGCACTAGGAAACTTTCTTTGAAGAAAATAGTATTTAGAACAATGGAATGGTAGTATTCATGTAATTGATACTATGTTAAACAATGGGATGTATTGGTTTATATTTAATGACTTATGTAATTTAATTACCTTGTTTTCAATGTTATTTGATGAGTTAGAGCAACTTCAAAAGGAGTTGCCATCAGGAGTGACATTCTTATAATCGTTAAAATGTCACCCCAAAGTTAAAAATTTGGACTTCAATGGGGGTGGCATAAGAGGTTGCAAAATGACATCGAGGGTCTTGGAGTGACATTTTTGACAACTCTGGAGAGAGAAAGAGAGAGGTTGCAAAATCACTGTTCAATCTCAACCGCTCTTCCAACAGCTATATTCAACAAAAAATTTCTACAAATACAAAAATTTTGAAAAGAAAATTTACCTAATTTTTTTTCATTCATTGGAAGGACGCACAGAGACGCAAAGACGTTCTGGAAATCGCAAAGGGAAGGAATAGGAGGCTGGGAATCGCTTGTCGTTGTCGTTGTAAGTTGTAGAGGGCGCAGGGGAAGGGAAAGGGGAAGCAGACGTTCTGGGAGGGGGAAGGGGTAAGAAGCATTTTATTTAAGGGAAGGGGAAGGCATTGTAATTTGTAATTACATCTGCCACCCCCTGCTCTTGTTTTAATTTATAATTTGTAATTTGTGGTAGATTTATTTGTTTTAATTAAGAGTAATTTTATTTATTTTTTAATTGATTATATTTTTTTTTGTAGATGGATTCTCAATTTGACGATTTTTTCACTGATTTGCTTATGAACGACACTGATTTGAAATTTGAAATTTTTATTATAAAAATATATCCGTTAAATTGCGATCTTTATGAAAACTATACTCGTTAAAATATAATCATTAAGTTTAATTATATTTGTGGATAAAAAATATTAAAATATTAAAATGGCACCCCATTTCAACACATGTCATTGAAGTAGATTTATAATTCAGAGATGCCAAAAAATTATTTAAGGTTACAAATGATTAATTTGGCACCCTAAAATAGCACCTCCTTTTGGAGTTGCTTAGTGTGAATATAATGCAATAAGGAATTTTGAGGAGTTGTTGTAGTAGTAAGAAATAATATAAAGCTAATAATTGGAACATAAACTGAAGTATTTTTTTTTTATCATAAACTTGAAATGGTTACTATATACGTTTTTGTTTTTGGTTTTATTTTTATTTTCATAATTTGTTAAACATAAATAATTATTCAATATGTTTTCTGTTTTCAATTTTTACCACAGAAAAAATAAAAAATTATTATTTTTAAAACATAAAAATAAAAACATTATCAAACTCACTTCAAATTATTGAATTCGAGTTTTTGATAATCATTTTGAACTTAATTTGAGAATATCAAAACCCAAAAATTTGAACTCGAATAAATAAAGCGCGTGACGGATCTTCTGCCTCCTGCCTCTAAGGCGAGTAGCATGTGGAACTTCAATTGCATGCAAATGAAACAACATCATCCATCGGACATGGCCCCATGCCATCACACACAGAAGGAAAGAGTAGCGAAATCCACTCCACCAATTCTGCCAACTTGCTGGGGCCCACGCGACAGCGCGACTTTCCTGCTCTGCTTCCTCTTCAGGGCCCCATGCCTGTCCCCTTCTGCTCTTCTACACGCTTCGTACTACTCATTAGAAAATTATCTAAAAATAAATTCCTCAAAAAACAAAAATCAGAAAGTAATATAATTTAATTTTAATTACTAAATTTAAATTAAAATAAATTAAAAAAAAGAGAGAGAAATAAAATTATTTGACATTGAGAATTATGTTAAATTTATGTGACATTAGAGACTATGAAAAGAAAATTTTATTTTTGAGAGATTTTTTTTTTTGAAAAATTTTATTGAATAAAATTTGATAAAAATTAAATTAATATTAATTATATTTATATTTATATTTTTATAAGTTGATAATTCAATTTTTTAGTTTTAATATTAGATAGATTTTATGTTGATCGATTTGTAAATATAATCTTAAACTAATAAAGTATTAAAATTTTATACATGGCATCTTTTCAATTGTAAAAAAGAAAAACAAAATTAGTACCGAAAAATTATTGTACGGTAATAATTAAACATGTTAAAAAACGTGGACGGCAAATGCAATTAAAGAACACGTGGTGTCCAACTTTATCAACACGGAATCCGTAGATTGTAGGGCCCACGAAACGATTCCGTCTCGTGCGCGGCCATTCTTGCCGTTGGTGGCTAAGTTTGTTAGATGAAGAAGACTAATCGACTCTACTTGATTCCACTGTTGCTTTATTATTCGGCCAAGCAATCTTTACTTTTATTTCACAGGGAAAAACCAGTAATTAATCTTTTCTTTTCTATTGTTTGTAATATTGATGACAGTTTGATTTTATTATTTACAGAGTAATAATAATAAATGTGTAAAATAATACATTTAAATTGTATTATAATATTATCTCTTTTGATTGTATTAAATACATTCATAATATAAATTTATCGTATAAAAAATATATAATAAATATACGATTAGTATACGTTTTTAAAATTAATACGATATCAAATTTATTTATTAAACAAAATATTATGACTAATAAATAAAAAATAGTACAATACAATATTTAATAACCTCCTAATACATCTACCAAGCGAGTTTATAGGGCTCATTTGGTAGACGTATTATGAAGGGATTAAATATAGATTGTATTATTTTTTATTTAATCAGATATAATATTTTGTTTGGTAAACAAATTTGATGCAGTATTGATTTCAAAAGCGTATATTAATTGTATACTTATCATATATTTTTTATAGGATAGACATGTATTATGGATGTATTTTAATACCATAAAGAGATATGGTATTATAATTCAACATAAACGTATTATTCTACACATTTACTATTATAACCTTTAACTGATAAAATCAAAATGTCATTAATATAAAAAACACTGATTGAGAGTAATTTTGTTAATTCAACATTAATACAATGAAATAATTTCATAACCAAACAACCAATTGGATTAAATAAACTATTATACAACGTTTTTGTTTTATATTGTCAAACACTAGATAAAATTATACATTATTCTAATACCATGTTTAATCTTGTTTTTTGTCTTTCTATATTATATTAGATTGTATTATTTTATCTAATCCTTCAAATTCTAATACGGTAACCAAATGATCTCATAGTGTATAAAATCTAAGAATATTTTAAATTTGTTATTTCTTTTTCCAATAATATTTTTATTCGTCATAGCCTTTGCTTTGATGACTTATGAGAAATGCTCATCTCTCTAGTTTTGTCTTTCAAGTTTAAGCATAAAATTGTGGTGTTAATATGGGAGCAAAAGGCATGAACAATTAATTGCAATCTTCTATTACCTCAAGCTCAAAGTTCAATTAACAATTTTTACCCATTTTGTGGGAACCGAAGGGGAAAAGGAAAATATAGTAATTAGTGTCATTTAATGAAAAAAAAAATTCTAGTAATTGGTGTCATCTTATTATGATATTGTTGGCACAAAAATGGACTCTATTTTTAGAAAATTAAATACAATTTTTTTAAACATGCTTAAATTTAATATTATTGATACAATTATTTATGAAAATTAAATAATACAACAAATAAAATAAAGAAATTATCAAAAAGGCAAAAAATATTTACTTATAGACTATTTATTAGATTATAGTACTACATTTTTGCTAATTGATGATAATTATCATTAAATATTATTGATACAATTATTTATGAAAATTTAATAATACCATAAATAAAATAAAGAAATTTTTCAAAAAGGGGCAAAAAATATTTACTTTTAGACTATTTGATTATATTACTACATGTTTGCTAATTGAAGATAGTTTTAATATTTAATGATATAAATCAAAATTTTAAGAACCTTTTATGGTACAAATGTCATCAACCCTAAAATAAAGGCAAAATTATACCAAAAAAAACCTAAATAAATTGAAGATAATTATAAAAAAAATTATAAAACGGCATTAAAAATTGGCATTCGTTCATGATAAGCATATAAAATTGAATCTTTATTCAATCTTTAAAGAAAAAAAAACATTAGTTAGCTAAGAGGTTACAAATCAAACAACCAGAGAAAATTTAACACTTTCTCTAAGCTGCAAAAATTAATTTCTTCAACAAAAAAACTTGTATATAACCATATACATCAAAAGTTGGCCATCATCATCAATTCTCCATAGGTGGAGATAAGTTGAGATCAAGGTCAAGAACCTTCTTTACAGGACTACTCTCATCAACAACAGAGGACGAGTCCGAGTCACTCAGTGCACCTCCGCCATACCCACGAGTTAACTCAGTCGCCACCGAGTCAAATCGGTACGGAATTCCCCCGTTCACCATCGCCGGCCGCGCAAGCGCTTCAAAAAATAACACCGTTTGACCATTTGGCAGGACAGCGTACGCAGGCTGGCGGTGATAAAACTGATTATACCCAGCAACGGACCCACCAACATCTCCGGGGACAACAACGCGGCGCGTGAGGTCAATCGCAGGCGGTGCTGGAGGGAGACCATCACGGCTCGAGGACTCCACCGTGCTGCTCTGGCTATTGGTGATTTCAGAAGGCAGAGGGAAGTTGGTCTTGGCCTTGGGGCCGCGGAATTCTATGGCGGCGGTGTCGTAAGCCTTCGCCGCCTCCTCCGCCGTGTCGAAGGTACCCAACCAGACCCGGCTCTTCTTACTCGGGTCTCGGATTTCAGCGGCGTATCGTCCCCATGGCCTCTTTCTCACTCCTCTGTAATGCACATCCTTCACTCCGGCGGCCTTCCCGGCACCACTCTTTACTCCTGTAATCTTCTCCTTCATCGCCATTAGAGATCTCCGACTCCAAAGCAGTATGGAATAACAGAAAGCTTAAATGTCTCTCTCCCACACAAACACGCACTCTCTCTCTCTCTCTCTCTTTAATGTGTTAAAAATGGGGATGGAGTTTAATGATGGGTGGGGAGAGATTATATAGGGATGTTGGAGAGAGAAATGGACAGGTGGTGCAGTCAGCTTTGGGATTTGACTAGGGGGACAAAGGAGCGCCGCCCCAGCAGTCAGACTGCAACGATTATTTGAAAATTGTAAGGTTAGGTGATTACGTGGCACGCGGGGAGCTTCTAAGGGAAAGCGAGGACGATGTTGATGTGCCGGCTTTGCATTAGACCGCGTTTTTAGATGCGCGTCTTTTATTGTTGTCCAAGCTGATTACCAGCGCGTATTTTTTCCACGCACGTAAAATTAACAATTAAACAAGCAATGCCAGAAAAACAATTTATAATATTAAAAATAGGGTATTAAACATGTACTATTTTTGTTTTATTTTAAACAATTATCTAACTTAAAATTATAGGGAATAAAGGAAAAATAAGAACTATATGACAGAGAAAAAGAGATATATATGGGTTAATGATATTGTCTAATATTAGAAGCCTTGTAAAGAGAATAACGTTTTTGGGATAAAAAGAATATTGAATTAATTTTGTATTAATATTGATTTTTTTTTATATTTTAAAAATTAAGAATTTAATTTTTCATTATAGATGTATGTGTGTTGCTATTGTGGTCATTTTTATTCAAAGTATACCTTGCAAATAATAAAAAAATATTGCTATTGTGATAATTTTGATCTCATTTTTACTCAAAGTATAGTTGGATGATGGATCAAAAAATATTAGAAGATGCAATTTTAATCTTATTTTTATTAATATTTAACTTAATGTTAGATCAAAAATTATTAAAATATTAAATTTTAATCTAATTTTTATTCAAAATTTACTTAATGATAGATCAAAAAACATTAAAAGAAGTATGGCAGATGTTGTTGTAATTTTGATCTCATTTCTATTCGTTCAAAGTTTAAATTTTATTTACCATATTAACACCTTCGCCGTTTTGATTAATCAATCATTACCCCAATAATTTTATCCATCTAATTAATCTACATGGGTAAACATTATACGTGTTTCTTAAATTATGAGATGAGTTTTAATTTAGTTCATTAACTTTAATATCTTTAATTTAATCTTTAAAAATATATAAATCCTAATAAATCGATCATTTTTCCCTTCAATTAAAACAAATAAAAAGCTAAAAATACTCTAAATTACGATAAATAAAAGTTAAAGTACATTAATACATCCAAAAGCATAATTTGAGAAACATCTTATGACATTTATTTCAATAATATATACTTATTTTAGTCCTATTATCCTAGAAGAAAGAGGAAATATTTTATAATTAATCCTTTATTTTATATGAAAAAACTCAAAAAGGCCTTGTATTTAAAAATGGTGCATGGAAATTGGTGTGTTTAATTCACACTCTATTAGGTGAGACTTGCAATGGGCGACGACCAATTGAAACAAATATAATGTATCCGGCAGTCACACACCGAGTGAATATTGAGTGTGACGTTGATATTATTTCATTGGTGATAAGTGATTTTTATAATTCATAATTTATAAAAGTAAAATAGTAATTAAATTTTAAACATATTGATTGTAATCTAATAGTATAAAATATATTCTAATTTTATTTCAATCAAAAATGTGAATTCAACCAATATATTTTTCAATATCAAACAAATTCATTTTTTTTTATATATACCACCAGGGTTAGACCTAACAATAAAAAAATTCATTAATTTACCACTGTCTCCCTCTTTTATTTACTCTTTATTCACTTGAATTTTAAAATATTATATTAAGAAAAAGAAAAAAAAATAAATTACTATTTTAAATTAAATAATATAAGGCCAATGCTTATTTGTATATTGTAGAGTTTCTTCGCGCTAGTTATTGAAAGTTACAAACATAATGGGATCTAAAACACATACATGATACACAATTACTACTAAAAGTAACTCGTGTAGCCAACTGGGATAGCTCAGTTGGCCAAAGTCTCTGATTTTTCGGTGGGATGTCAGGGATTCAAAGTCCTCTTGATGCAAAAGTGTGGTTGTTTGCTAGATCAAGATCTTAGTTGTTTAGAAAAATAATATTCAAAATACATATGAACTCTATTTCTTGAAATTAATTTATATAAATTTTTTTCAAAATATATAGTCTCAAAAAATAATTAATATATGTACTCTATTATAAAATAAAAATTATATTAAATCAAAAATTTATAAAAAATTAAATGATATAACTTGTTAAAGATATAAATAAATAAAAAATATGTAGAAATAAAATTTAAATTTGTTAGTGATATGACGTCTCACGCTATAACTGATCCATTGAATATTTTCTCCGGTTGAAGTACTGCGAAACAGCCGTCTTTCGGCTCTATATACTATAATAATTACTTGATCCCTTCTCTTGGACCGACAGTTTGATAGATTGACCATTGAAAATGTGACACGTACCCCTCGTTCAGCGCTGAACACGTCTTCTTTTTTGACTAGCCGTATCGTAATCATCTTCTTTTGGCAGCTTTCCTCAAGAAAAAATATTCAGTAGCGTCCCAAGAGTCTAAGCTAAATGACAAAAGATCCATAGGATAGCCTTGAATTTTATATAATCCCATGTTTGGTTGGGATGCAAACAAAAAAAATAAAATTGAGCAATTAATTCTCATTTAATTTATATAATTGATATTAATAAAGGTATTATTTGATTATATCATTTGTATAATAAATTTTGATTAAAATTGAAAAAAGACATAAATATATAATTATAATATCAAATTTATGTTTGAATTAGGCATTAATTGAAAATAAAAAAAATATTGAGGATAAGAGTTTACAAAGTGTAACTTTTATATGAGGGTGTGGATTTAAATTTGTTAGGGGAAATAAATTGATTTTAATTTTTATATTGAACTTGTTTTAAATAAAACCACCTACCATATTATATTCATTAATATCTTATATTAGATGTTAAATAACAATAGTGAATTGGGTTAAAATTAATAAAAAATTAATAATGAGTCAAAATAATTTAATCCAAACTTTGTACTATATCACCGGATTAAATTAATCCAATCTAATCTCTTAATTAGACCTGTCAATTGTATTGGGTGAAACACGTGTCAAATCTTAACAGGTTCGCGTAAAAGAAACACTTTATTTATATTTAATTCGTTTATAAATTCGTGTCTAATGAGTCATATCATACTTGGTTTGTGTCGTGTATCAATCGTATATATAACTGGTATATAAACAAGTTATGTCGTGTATTTTTTTTTGATTAACTTCACTCATACCCAATTCATTAATTAATCATGTTTCGTCGGGTCCACTAGTTTACAAAATAAGTAGCTTAAAAAAGACTCAAACTCTTTAACTTTGTATTANTACGTGTTTCTTAAATTATGAGATGAGTTTTAATTTAGTTTATTAACTTTAATATCTTTAATTTAATCTTTAAAAATATATAAATCCTAATAAATCGATCATTTTTCCCTTCAATTAAAACAAATAAAAAGCTAAAAATACTCTAAATTACGATAAATAAAAGTTAAAGTACATTAATACATCCAAAAGCATAATTTGAGAAACATCTTATGACATTTATTTCAATAATATATACTTATTTTAGTCCTATTATCCTAGAAGAAAGAGGAAATATTTTATAATTAATCCTTTATTTTATATGAAAAAACTCAAAAAGGCCTTGTATTTAAAAATGGTGCATGGAAATTGGTGTGTTTAATTCACACTCTATTAGGTGAGACTTGCAATGGGCGACGACCAATTGAAACAAATATAATGTATCCGGCAGTCACACACCGAGTGAATATTGAGTGTGACGTTGATATTATTTCATTGGTGATAAGTGATTTTTATAATTCATAATTTATAAAAGTAAAATAGTAATTAAATTTTAAATATATTGATTGTAATCTAATAGTATAAAATATATTCTAATTTTATTTCAATCAAAAATGTGAATTCAACCAATATATTTTTCAATATCAAACAAATTCATTTTTTTTTATATATACCACCAGGGTTAGACCTAACAATAAAAAAATTCATTAATTTACCACTGTCTCCCTCTTTTATTTACTCTTTATTCACTTGAATTTTAAAATATTATATTAAGAAAAAGAAAAAAAAATAAATTACTATTTTAAATTAAATAATATAAGGCCAATGCTTATTTGTATATTGTAGAGTTTCTTCGCGCTAGTTATTGAAAGTTACAAACATAATGGGATCTAAAACACATACATGATACACAATTACTACTAAAAGTAACTCGTGTAGCCAACTGGGATAGCTCAGTTGGCCAAAGTCTCTGATTTTTCGGTGGGATGTCAGGGATTCAAAGTCCTCTTGATGCAAAAGTGTGGTTGTTTGCTAGATCAAGATCTTAGTTGTTTAGAAAAATAATATTCAAAATACATATGAACTCTATTTCTTGAAATTAATTTATATAAATTTTTTTCAAAATATATAGTCTCAAAAAATAATTAATATATGTACTCTATTATAAAATAAAAATTATATTAAATCAAAAATTTATAAAAAATTAAATGATATAACTTGTTAAAGATATAAATAAATAAAAAATATGTAGAAATAAAATTTAAATTTGTTAGTGATATGACGTCTCACGCTATAACTGATCCATTGAATATTTTCTCCGGTTGAAGTACTGCGAAACAGCCGTCTTTCGGCTCTATATACTATAATAATTACTTGATCCCTTCTCTTGGACCGACAGTTTGATAGATTGACCATTGAAAATGTGACACGTACCCCTCGTTCAGCGCTGAACACGTCTTCTTTTTTGACTAGCCGTATCGTAATCATCTTCTTTTGGCAGCTTTCCTCAAGAAAAAATATTCAGTAGCGTCCCTAGAGTCTAAGCTAAATG